ACTATTCACCCAGAACAATGTATACAAGTTTGTACCAGGTCAAGTACATGTGAATTACATCACTGCTTCTCTAAAAGACAATGATACAGCATCCATACACCACTCATCCAGAACAATGTATACAAGTTTGTACCAGGTCAAGTACATGAGAATTACATCACTGTTTCTCAAAAAGACAATAATACAGCATCCATACACCACTCACCCAGAACAATGTATACAAGTTTGTACCAGGTCACGCACTTGTGAATTACATCACTGCTTCTCAAAAGACAATGATACAGCATCCATAAACCATTCACCCAGAACAATGTATACAAGTTTGAACCAGGTCAAGTACATGAAAATTACATCGCTGCTTCTCTAAAAGACAATGATACAGCATACATACAGCATCCAAGTTTGTACCAGGTCAAGTACATGAAAATTACATCCCTGCTTCTCTAAAAGACAATGATACAGCATACATACAGCATCCAAGTTTGTACCAGGTCAAGTACATGAGAATTACATCGCTGCTTCTCTAAAAGACAATGATACAGCATACATACAGCACTCACCCAGAACAATGTATACAAGTTTGTACCAGGTCAAGTACATGAGAATTACATCGCTGCTTCTCTAAAAGACAATGATACAGCATACATACAGCATCCAAGTTTGTACCAGGTCAAGTACATGTGAATTACATCACTGATTCTCTAAAAGACAATGATACAGCATACATACAGCATCCAAGTTTGTACCAGGTCAAGTACATGAAAATTACATCGCTGCTTCTCTAAAAGACAATGATACAGCATACATACAGCATCCAAGTTTGTACCAGGTCAAGTACATGAACATTACATCGCTGCTTCTCTAAAAGACAATGATACAGCATACATACAGCATCCAAGTTTGTACCAGGTCAAGTACATGAGAATCACATCGCTGCTTCTCTAAAAGACAATGATACAGCATACATACAGCATCCAAGTTTGTACCAGGTCAAGTACATGAGAATTACATCGCTGCTTCTCTAAAAGACAATGATACAGCATACATACAGCATCCAAGTTTGTACCAGGTCAAGTACATGAGAATTACATCGCTGCTTCTCTAAAAGACAATGATACAGCATACATACAGCATCCAAGTTTGTACCAGGTCAAGTACATGAGAATTACATCACTGCTTCTCTAAAAGACAATGATACAGCATACATACAGCACTCACCCAGAACAATGTATACAAGTTTGTACCAGGTCAAGTACATGAGAATTACATCACTGCTTCTCTAAAAGACAATGATACAGCATACATACAGCACTCACCCGGAACAATGTATACAAGTTTGTACCAGGTCAAGTACATGTGAATTACATCACTGCTTCTCTAAAAGACAATGATCTATTGTGGATAACACTTGCTGAGTACTTCGATTAAAAAGAATACATATTTCAAAATTTTAACGAGAGTGTAATTCTCGTTTGAAATGGTTAAAGTTACGAGAAATATCCTCCGCCTTGCATTTATTGATGAAATATTTGGCAAATACTATAATATAATCAAAGACTTTGACAGTCACTTCTTTCAGTGGCATTTAGAAGTTGGTGTGATGAAGTAAGACGAGTTTTATGGATGAACAACTTCTTTATTATAATCTGTGTTCATTAGTCATCCACTGGCTTCCAATTATCTTAATCAACTCTCTCTGTCCACCAATCACCTTACTGTATAAACTTTGATGTTAATAAGTATATATACCCATGTTGTTTAGCACTATCCCCCGTGTGCGAAATACGCATCAGTCGGAAAGCGCACGTTAAATCTCCAAAGTAAGTAAGTAAGTAAGCACTATCCATCACTTGCTTGATAATGGTGTTAGGATCTACACCGAAACGTCGCACTAATTGTAATAAAGAAGTTGTTCATCCATAGGACTCGTCTGACTTTGTCAGTGTAAACACAGTTTTCACATACATAATATAAACTCTGTGTCATGTAAATTACGCTCACATGCATGTGAACATTTATCTTAAAACCCATCCATCAGGGATTTCAAAATATGTTTTATATTCAAACATCAACATTATGAGAACGGGTGGGTATTATCTTTTACATTCGTGACCAACTCGTGTTATTCCGGTACAAGCCGAATAGCGACTCGTGCCCCTCTCGTGGCCATTTTTGCAACCGGGTTCCGTCTTTGCGCAAACGGGCATACCTAAAACAATTGTCAACTCGTTGTGTAATGGTTCACACATATTTCCCCGTACATTATATATATTTTAGATACAATTTAAAGCAGATCTGGACATGGTGACTTATACAGTATGTTTGAACACATTTAACTGTGTCTTGGGTATATTTTTAGATGCAAGACACATGTAAAATAAAATACTATTTCTGAGGGATTCTTTGACAAAGAACTTGAAATCAAACGCGCATTCTGATTGGTTTGTCGAATTTTCGCACATAACATTCATCGATAGGGGGACGAGTCTACTTGCAGGTTACGGAAAGTGGCGAGAGGTGACGAATGATCATGGCCATTTTTGCGACCGGGTTCCGTCTTTGCGCAAACGGGCATACCTAAAACAATTGTAAACTCGTTGTGTAATGGTTCACATTTATTTCCCCGTATATTATATATATTTCAGATGCAATTTAAAGCACATCGGGACATGCGGAATTATACAGTATGATTGAACACATTTAACTGTGTCTTGGGTATATATTTAGATGCAAGACATATGTATAATCAAAAAATTATTTCTGAGGGATTCTTTGACGAAGAACTTGAAATCAAACGCGCATTCTGATTGGTTTGTCGTATTTTCGCACATAACATTCATCGATAGGGGGACGAGTCTTAAAACCCATCCATCAGGGATTTCAAAATATGTTTTACATTCAAACATCAACATTATGAGAACGGCTCGGTATTACCTTTTACATTCGTGACCAACTCGTGTTATTCCGGGACAAGCCATGCCGTTTACGGAAAGGGGCGAGTGGTGACGAATGTATCTTTTAGTGAATGGCAGGTAGCAGGTTGTCAGTGTAACATGGCCTCATTCACGAGCAGGGATTTGGGGTATTTGAACAGAAAGTGTCATAGATTAGACACTCACAATTTACTGCTCATGTTGGTTGTGATTAATGTAATGTTCGAAAGTGAAACTAGGTGTGTTATTGTCACGTCACTATCTGTCTTCTGACCATTCGTTGCAAAAGTTATCTTCAGTTTAGATAATTAGTGTATTTTGAATAAACCAAAAGAAACGCGTTTTAGTGTAGCAACACTACACTAGGGAATGTCATTCTTACAAAGGGAATGTAAAAAGTGTGGGTGAGTGAGTTTGGGTTAACGCCGTTTTGAGTGAGTGAGTTGGGTTTAACGCCGCTTTTAACAGTATTCCAGTTATATCACGGCGTGTCAGCTTAATGTTGGAGGAAAGCCCGAAGTGATGCAGGTCTCAGACGTTTACCACTTCGGTGAAACCCACGAGCATGGGCATAGTGCTCACAAACCTAGAAACATAATTGGGGAGAACCGGGATTCGGACCCACATTCATAGGTTTCTGGCGTGCCCAAAGGGACGCATCTCTGCACAGCGAATCGCGGCGCCTTAGACGACTGGGCCACCCGTGCCCCCAACGCCGCTTTGAAAAGAATTCCAGTTATAATGTGGGAGGAAAGCCCGAAGTGATGTAGATCTAATACCCCGTTCACATACGCCTCTATACATGTGTGTGTATATGTGCATACGTGTGTGAAAATACACACGTAAGTATACAAAACCAATCAGTATATTCGGTAATTAGGACTCAGGCCCACGTACAGATATATATCAGGTGCTGCATGGAATAATATTTACAGGTAAGAAGAACGAAGACAGATAGCATTTTTAACATAATTGGCAAAGTTCTTAAGACAGGTTACATCCGAATATTTTAACATTCTAACTAGTACGTCTTTACGATTATTACCAGTAATAAAGTCTAAATATGGGAAATATTTTGAGCGATATCTTCATAAATAGGGCAAACGAGAATGAAATGAATTTCATTTTCAACTGCCCTTACTTGCAGAAAACTTTTGCCCTTAACTTGGATACCTTGGATTCCTTGGATTCATTTTTCATAAAATATATATATTCCACGGTCATGGTGCAGGACTAAGCATACAACATCAACTTTTATGCGTAGGTGGGCTGACGGTATTTTTCTTTGGTTTTAAGGGGTCAACATTTGAATTAAAGACATGTTGCATCATGCGAAGATTTCTGTCAAATTGCTCTCTTCTCTCTCGACTTTGTTTGGAAAACAAGTCACGAAAAGATTGATGAATATGTGTTCCTTATACCATTAACATACCTTATTTACACACCTAAGTTCATTTTCATGTGAACACATAGTAAATTTACATATGCACACGTATGTATATTTACGCATATGCAAAATTACTTTCGTGCGTAAATGTTCTGCATGTGAACGGAGTTGCATCCCTTGGTCACGCCAGGAACTTATGATCCTTGGTTCGAACCTAGGTTCGCCCCAATTATGTTTCTATGTTTGTCAGCACCATACCAGTGCTCGTGGGTTTCACCGAAGTAGTGAACGTAATACCCCGTTCACATGCGCCGCTATACATATGTGTGTATATGTGTATACGTGTGTGGAAATACATGCGTGAGTATACTTGTCATGTTAACGCGTTTACTCATGTGTGTATATTTACACCAGGAGCAAATTTGAATCATGTCTGGAGCAGGTGCAAATGTAAATGTAAATTTACTTATACGCACGTATGTATAGTTACACATGTTAGAAATTACTTACGTTAGTAAATGTTGTGCTTGTGAACGGGGTATAAGAGACCTGTACCCTCCCAACATTTCGATCATTATTTGCTATGAAAGGAGGGCTATAAGATCTTGGAAATCCTGATCAGCGTAAAATGATATTTGGTTTTCTTTCACGGAATTTGAATATCTTTGATTTCATTTCAGAATCGCTAGAAGACAAGAACACTCTCCAGTTCCAGTTAAACGCCAACGGGAACAGTTCTCCGATCGAGGTGAAAAGTGCTAGTCTTTTTATTCGAATAAAAACGAAGAAGGCCGAAGGCAACGAAAAGCCCCCGAAGTCTAACAAATCCAGGAAGAAAAACAATTCACAGAGGAAAATAAAACTGCTGATTCGACACTTTGACCGGAAGCGGAAGCGTTTCCGGAGGGTCACCCTTCTCAAGGCCAGCATTAGGAAAACAAAATGGCTGAAACTTCACATACCGCAGTCTTCGGTGCAGCGAGACTTGAATTCGGGAAATAAGACTATTTTACTGAAGGTCACATGTAAGAGGTGTAAACAAAGTTTGAGTCTTGACCTTCTCTACAAGAAGAACGCCAAAAAAAACAAAATAGGGAAACGTCGGAAGTCCAAAAAACGACGTTTGAGCCACACGCGACCTTTCCTCGTGGTGTACACGAAACCCCAGATTTCCACGCGACCTCGTCGTAACCTTGACGACTGCTCAGTCGCCAACATGTCACACTGCTGCACGAGACAAATGTACGTCGATTTTCGAGAGATAGGCTGGGACAACTGGATACTGTATCCCCCGGGGTTCACAACATCAACATGTGATGGCGGGTGCGATACATCCACGGCGCATGTCGTGACCTCAAATCAAGCGTCACGTGGTCGTAATTCGACGAATCAGGAAGTGGCGTGTCGACCTACTTCGACCGAGCCCTTGACCGTCGTCTACTATAAAAGAATCAACGTAATCGTCCGACGAACCATCCCAAATTTGGTCGATGGCAACTGCGGTTGTGTTTAATTTCACGCACATTCTTAACTTATAAACATGTGACCACAGACGCTACTGCGAAAAATAAATAAGTGGACCTTTCTGTCGGAAATGCGTTTTATCATATCTGCTTTCAATATGTCATTTGATCGGATGAAGAAATGCCCGTTTAACAAGATTGGGTTTCTTGGCTCTGTTCTTTGTGTTGTGCGTATTGATATATAAACTGAAAGAGACGTTTTTCCTGTCATGAGATGTTGTATGACTAAAGGGTTATTGGTATATTGAATCCAATCTCATTAAAATCAGATCTTAGTTCTGGCTATCGCTAAACAAAGATCTGAAGACATCCCATTACGGGTCACGTCAGAACGACCTTTCATCCGACCAATCAAAGCGTCGCTTACCAGATCCTGAAAGTGACAGTCGGAATGTGTTTTCTAATCATGCAACCTCGAAAACGTTAACATGGGGTATGCCGAGCGACAGTTACGGCCCGTACGACTGATTCCGTCATAATCATCGTCTACCTCTCGCTTCCATTCGAGAAACATTTGAACGGAAGAAGTGTTGCATAGTACATGGGAAGCACTGCCATACAATCTCAACCATATATTAGACATTCCGGAAAGTTCGTTTGTTCAGTTTTCAAAATTTTAATCGAGAACTCTGTCAACATATATTTCAAGGGTAGTCTGAGATGGAAGTCGCCAGGTTGAAACGAGTGCCGTAAAGCTCGAGAAAGCTGCTTTCTAATTGGCTGATGTCGACTTCTTGTTAGTCATTTCAGTGGTCGGTCAAAGTTCGCGAAAGGTCGTTTTGATGTGACCCGTAAAGCCTCAGATCTTTGTTTAGCGATAACGAGAACTAAGATCTGATTTTAATGAGATTGATATTGAATCCGAAATCGTTTGTAGGAGACATTTTTTAGGGTAAAATATACTTGTAGCTCTACTGGTCACAGATCAGTGAGCTTATGAAATGGCGCCGCATTCATCGTACGACTCGCGGTCACGTCATACATTGTGTGTTTTGAGATGTTACCTTCAACAAATGTAAATGGATTGTGACTAAAGTTTATTTGACGTCTATTGTGGAAGCAGGCAGATATTCAAGGGAGGCAATCCTCCATAATCTTAAGCGCGTTTTATATGTAGTCTAAACGTTGTAATTATTGCACTGAGTGAAAATTGGGAAATTGTGTTTGTGGAAGTTTTGTTCTAGACTTATCTACATCGTAAAATTGGAGTTGGTAGACAGAAAGGTGTATGAATAACCTGAATCTAAATGTCCGGACCTGCTAATTTTACCGGACCACGCCCCCGTAGGTCAAAGGTTTTCTTTTTGCGGCCATCATGCACAGAAACATTATGGTCAATATTCCAATCACCTCTAAAGTATATGGAAATGTTAATGTGTGACTCACTAACTACGGCAGTGATGGTTCGACAGTTGCTAGCCCAACTGATCGTCATTGTCGCCAATATGTCTACCAGCTTTAATGCGACATTAAGAAAAAGGATTTATGTTAACCGTTATCTTATCTAACGGTTGTCCCACCTCCATGCAATGCCATCATGTCTGGTAGATCTACCACGTCTTAGCAAGTCGTAATTATTAACCCAATGGCCACTCTTATTTTCTAACTGATCTGTAGTTGTTTCTACCTCAAGTAAGACGTTCAGTATTAAGCATGTGTGATGTTTTATATTTTATTTCCGTGTACTGTAATGATTTTGTTTAGAATGCCATCGTGTTATGTTGCAACTTAATACTTTAATGTGATTTGTAATAAAAGACCTTACGTTTTACAAAAGGGCATATCTCATTCCTTTGTGGACATCCCTGGGGTATTGAGTCAGCATAATCAACACTATTCTGGCTGATGAACACACTGAACGCATGTGGGAATCGAACCAGGGTGGTTAAAGCGTATACTCGTTGTGTCGAAGCCCTGCTCCACAAAGCGAGCTCAGCGATACGACTTGTGTAAATCAATGTTATGTATGGGAGTAACGATCGTCACGGCGCTAAGATCGCTTTGTAGAACACGGATCAAGGACATTCGGCGTGACGAGAGTATGTGTAAGCCTCTGGGCTACCTATCCCCCTCCCACGTCGACGAGGGCGGGAGTGTCCAAAAATGTAACTCACTTGGATAGTGCCAAGACAGTTTTGTAAAACTAGGCCCACGGCCTCTCTACTCAAGGTCGGATATAATGAGTCCCATCAGCGACAGTCAAGTCCTGATATAACGTGTCCCGTCAGCTATAGTCAAGTCCAGATATAACGTGTCCCGTCAGCGACAGAAAAGTCCTTATATAACGTGTCCCGCCAGCAACAGTCAAGTCCAGATATAACGTGTCCCGTCAGCTATAGTCAAGTCCTCATATAACGTGTCCCATCACCTATAGTCAAGTCCAGATATAACGTGTCCCGTCAGCGAAAGTCAAGTCCTGATATAATGTGTCCCGTCAGCTATAGTCAAGTCCAGATATAACGTGTCCCATCAGCGAAAGTCAAGTCCTGATATAACGTGTTCCGTCAGCGAAAGTCAAGTCCTAATATAACGTTTCCCGTCAGCGAAAGTCAAGTCCTGATATAACGTGTCCCGTCAGCGACAGTCAAGTCCTGATATGACGTGTCCCGTCAGCGAAAGTCAAGTCCTGATATAACGTGTCCCGACAGCGAAAGTCAAGTCCTGATATAACGGGTCCCATCAGCGACAGTCAAGTCCTGATATAACGTGTCCCGTCATCTATAGTCAAGTCCTGATATAACGTGTCCCGTCAGCTATAGTCAAGTCCAGATATAACGTGTCCCGTAAGCGAGAGTCAAGTCCTGATATAACGTGTTCCGTCAGCGAAAGTCAAGTCCAGATATAACGTGTCCCGTCAGCTATAGTCAAGTCCTGATATAACGTGTCCCGTCAGCTATAGTCAAGTCCTGATATAACGTGTCCCGTCAGCTATAGTCAGGTCCTGATATTACGTGTCCCGTAAGCGACAGTCAAATCCTGATATAATGAGTCCCGTCAGCTATAGTCAAGTCCTGATATAACGTGTCCCGTAAGCGACAGTCAAGTCCTGATATAACGTGTCCCGTCAGCTATAGTCAAGTCCTGATATAACGTGTCCCGTAAGCGACAGTCATGTCCTGATATAACGTGTCCCGTCAGCTATAGTCAAGTCCTGATATAACGTGTCCCGTAAGCGACAGTCAAGTCCTGATAAAACGTGTCCCATCAGCGAAAGTCAAGTCCAGATATAACGTGTCCCGTAAGCGAGAGTCAAGTCCTGATATAACGTGTCCCGTCAGCTATAGTCAAGTCCTGATATAACGTGTCCCGTCAGCGAAAGTCAAGTCCAGATATAACGTGTCCCGTCAGCTATAGTCAAGTCCTGATATAACGTGTCCCGTCAGCTATAGTCAAGTCCTGATATAACGTGTCCCGTCAGCTATAGTCAAGTCCTGATGTTACGTGTCCCGTAAGCGACAGTCATGTCCTGATATAATGAGTTCCGTCAGCTATAGTCAAGTCCAGATATAACGTGTCCCGTAAGCGACAGTCAAGTCCTGATATAACGTGTCCCGTCAGCTATAGTCAAGTCCTGATAAAATGTGTCCCGTCAGTTATAGTGAAGTCCTGATATAACGTGTCCCGTCAGCTATAGTCAGGTCCTGATATAACGTGTCCCGTCAGCGACAGTCAAGCCCAGATATATCGTGTCGCGTCAGCGACAGTCAAGTCCTGATATAACGTGTCCCGTCAGCTATAGTCAAGTCCTGATATAACGTGTCCCGTCAGTTATAGTGAAGTCCTGATATAACGTGTCCCATCAGCTATAGTCAAGTCCTGATATGACGTGTCCCATCAGCGACAGACAAGTCCTGATATATCGTGTCGCGTCAGCTATAGTCAAGTCCTGATATATCATGTCGCGTCAGCTACATTCAAGTCCTGATATATCGTGTCGCGTCAGCTACATTCAAGTCCTGATATATCGTGTCACGTCAGCTATAGTCAAGTCCTGATATATCGTGTCGCGTCAGCTATAGTCAAGTCCTGATATATCGTGTCGCGTCAGCTACATTCAAGTCCTGATATATCGTGTCGCGTCAGCTACATTCAAGTCCTGATAGAGCGATGCTTAGTGTGTGTCCTTGTAGTGTGGTGTGGTGTGGTGCAGTGTGGTGTGGTGAAGTGGTCAGTGTGATGTGGTGCAGTGTGATGTGGTGCAGTGTGATGTGGTGCAGTGTGATGTGGTGTAGTGTGGTGTGGTGAAGTGGTCAGTGTGATGTGGTGCAGTGTGATGTGGTGCAGTGTGATGTGGTGCAGTGTGATGTGGTGTAGTGTGGTGTGGTGAAGTGGTCAGTGTGATGTGGTGCAGTGTGATGTGGTGCAGTGTGATGTGGTGCAGTGTGATGTGGTGTAGTGTGGTGTGGTGAAGTGGTCAGTGTGATGTGGTGCAGTGTGATGTGGTGTAGTGTGGTGTGGTGTGTTGTAGTGTGGTGTGGTGTGGTGCAGTGTGGTTAGTTTTATGTAGTGTGGTGAAGTGGTCAGTGTGATGTAGTGTGGTGTAGTGGTCAGCGTGATGAAGTGCGGTGTAGTGTGGTGTAGTGGTCAGTGTGATGTAGTGTGGTGTAGTGTGGTGAAGTGGTCAGCGTGATGTAGTGTGGTGTAGTGTGGAGAAGTGGTCAGCGTGATGTAGTGCGGTGTAGTGTGGTGAAGTGGTCAGTGTGATGTAGTGTGGTGTAGTGTGGTGAAGTGGTCAGTGTAATGAAGTGGTTAGTGTGATGCAGTGTGGTGTAGTGTGGTGAAGTGGTCAGTGTGATGTAGTTTGGTGAAGTGTAGTGAAGTGGTCAGTGTGATGTAGTTTGGTGTAGTGTGGTGAAGTGGTCAGTGTAATGAAGTGGTTAGTGTGATGCAGTGTGGTGTAGTGTGGTGAAGTGGTCAGTGTGATGTAGTTTTGTGTAGTGTGGTGAAGTGGTCAGTGTGATGTAGTTTGGTGTAGTGTGGTGAAGTGGTCAGTGTAATGAAGAGGTTAGTGTGATGCAATGTGGTGTAGTGTGGTGAAGTGGTCAGTGTGATGTAGTTTGGTGTAGTGTGGTGAAGTGGTCAGTGTGATGTAGTTTGGTGTAGTGTGGTGAAGTGGTCAGTGTAATCAAGTGGTTAGTGTGATGCAATGTGGTGTAGTGTGGTGAAGTGGTCAGTGTGATGTAGTTTGGTGTAGTGTGGTGAAGTGTTGTGTAGTGTTGTGAAGTCGTTAGTGTGATGCAGTGTGGTGTAGTGTGGTGAAGTGGTCAGTGTGATGTAGTTTGGTGTAGTGTGGTGAAGTGTTGTGTAGTGTGGTGAAGTGGTCAGTGTGATGCAGTGTGGTGTAGTGTGGTGTAGTGTGGTGAAGTGATTTGTGTGGTGAAGTTGTTAATGTGGTGAAGTGTGGTGTAGTGTTGTGTGGTGAAGTGGTCAGTGTAATGAAGCGGTTAGTGTGATGTAGTGTGGTGTAGTGTGGTGAAGTGGTTAGTGTGATGTAGTTTGGTGTAGTGTGGTGAAGTGGTTAGTTTTGTGTAGTGTTGTGAAGTGGTTATTGTGGTGTTGTGAGGGGGAGGGGTTAGCGTGGTTAGTGTGGTGAAGTGTGGTGAAGTGGTTAGTGTTGTGTAG